GCCGGACTATAATCACAAACAAAAAGGTCAAGAATATTTTGCATGGAGCGTACTTTTCTACACATATTGAATATTTTATGATTCTTGGCTTCCCGTGACCAAAAGTGGTATGTTTTCTATATCGACTGTAAATATATGCAAGAAGCCTGAGCAATATTGATCATGGAGGAAATGCATTGATCCACCGCCTATTAACTCTAGACTAAAGTAGGTATTATTTCAAGGAGTGAGGCGGTGGTATTGATAATGGAGATTGTGGGCATGAGACTATAACCAGGACAACTTACTGTCTCATTCCACTCACTGCCCGCCAGCTCCAATTAGCCCCTAACCCCTCCCCTCCCCCTCCCATGCCAATTAAAGTAATAACATTACATAAATAGAAATAACAATGGTGAATATTTGTCTGTCCAGTAATGGAATATCATTGGAGCGTAGACTCCCGATGGAAAATGCTGAAAGAAGCACATATCATCTTAAAGTTCTCAAACATGCATAACCTGGATATATGCTGGAACCTGTGAAGGAACTGGTGAAGAAATAAAACACTTAAATGTATTCAATGAGATGTTTACATTGATATCCGGAAGCTTATCATGACAAACAAACATATTCTGAAAGATAACACGTATGGAAAACTGAAATCGTAAGACAAAAATGACAAATAACATAAAATAGTTTCCATACAGTTTTGTCAATCGATTACGTAATATTTAAGAAAATAAATGGATGATCACCATTTTGACTGTCGGCAATACTAAAAATTCAAGAAAATAGACGTAATTACTGGATTTGCTCTGCGAATGCCCAAAACAGTAGAACGGTGCTTAAAGCTAATAAGTAAACTCATGATAGAGTACAAACACTATATGTGTACAACACTTTGCACTTTTTTACTACAAAATAGTGTTTTGTTTTTAGTGTTTTTTTTTTTTAATTAAAATTAAACAATAGAAAACAATAGAATTAGCATAAYTTAGCAGTATTTAGTGGTATTTATGTTCTACAGTTTTAGTGTTTGTACTCTATCAACACTTACTTCCTTAAGGATGGATTCATCTATGAAATTACTGCTCGTCAACATAGTTAGCTTCATAACTCAGTCGGTAGATCACTGCACAGGCATCGCAGAATATAAGTCAAGGGTTCGATTCCCGTTGAAGTTCTAAATTCTTTTTCAGGCTTTCTATTTATACAAGCGCATAGATTATTCATACTGTACTGATTTCACGGCGAAGACCAAGTTTCACCTCAACTAGTTTTCATTTGTTCAATTTAGTACATATTATTGGGATATCCTTAAAGGAGAAAAATCGAAAACAACTTGATCTTTGGCAATATTGCAATATTCAAAAAGCGAATCGAAACCCGAGAACATTTTTCATTTTCGTTGTTTGCCATTGCTCTCCTATTTATTAGAAATAAGTTCGAATGAATATAAGGTTTTTATTCAAGAAAAAAAAAATTCTTAGAAATATTGATACCTTAAGACGAGGACAAAGATAAAAGTACGCTTGAGGTCTTGTTTGATAGTCGGAAGAAGTTCGGTTTGAAATTTTGTGTTTATTGCTACTTTTTTGCAATCATTTTGGTAATTCAGCTGCTAGAATTAAGTAAGCTAGAGTTATATATTTATTTTACAAAATCATGGCATTAATTAGAAAATATTAATTCTCTAAATATTATCTTACATATCTATTTCGACGTTGCCTGTCGGTCCTCAAAACACTGTATTTCGTAACAATTTTTGTACAGACGTTGGTGGTCGTTGGTGGAACCATAATGATTTGGAATAATTTTTCTGTGTTTAAGAATTTTTTGTTTTAAACTTAATATCATGTATCGATTTTGCCAAACATTTTTTTTCTTTTATTGATGTAATAAAACTTACGTTAAATCCCATTATCCAGTTCACTGGTTGTAACGACAAAGTCATTTCTTTGCAGCATTCAATCCAATTGTGTTTTAGATTTTTCATATATGGAAAATGAGGTGACTTCACATATGCATTCGCAATCCGTTTCCATCCATCGGTTTAAAGGTCGAATCTTACAGTATTTCCATTCATATAGTATGATAAAGGGATAACAAAGAGTACGTTTTTGCTTATATATACGATGTATTTAATTTCTTTTTAAACTGATGAGCAAAAGCTGCGGAAAGGGATGCTGGTGGACCATGTACCTTTAAAATAAAGCTCCAAAAATTCTTTACAACGTCAAAAACTTTAATTCGCTATAAAAATAATATTCAAAATTAAAATATTAAAATTCTTCCTGACAATTCGAAAAAAAAGTTTATTTTTGTTGTTATTTTGAAGTGCACATGACACCTTTCAGAAAATCACTTCTATCCGAAAGGTATAGTAAACACGCTCCCAAGCACTTCAGTGAAGAAAGAAATTGATTTTGAATTGTATTTTCTGTTATAGACATTTGAAAATTGAAAATGCAAATGAAGTGACGTCAACTAAGGAATTGATCCAGACTTTTTTACGTTGCTTGTGTTATGTTGTTCTTGGTTGAAGAGCTGAAATCATCAATCATAATAATAATTGAGAGCTGAAAATGCTTTTTCCAGTGTAACAAAAAGAATAACGCCTCGGGAGACTCCCTTATAAAAGTTGGTAGGTCAAAAATAAAACCCTCGCGTACCTTTTACGGTCCTGAGCTGTACCTTTTAGGGTCAATTTTCAAACATCGAAAACAAAAATTGAAGAAGTGTCATAAAATAGATTTTATTAACCAAAACAACCATCGACATTGATTTTCTAAAGC